TAAATAAATAGATATATAGATAGATAGATAAATAAATTAATTAATTAATTAATAAATAAATAAATAAATAAATACAGCTTGTTGACGAAAAGTTTAGTACATCATACTCACTTTTCTTAAGCATGTCAAAATCAGAACTGCTCAACCCATCTGCCGACAATGACATGCGTTTACTCTGACACTGCCTGTGGGCGTCGGCCATCGAGCTCCTCTTCTTGTGGAACACGGCACAAAATTCTCCCAGCACGATAGATCCATCAGGACACCCGCTCTCGTGTGTTTCATTATGATCCCCATCGTCTTCTCCTTGCTGTCGGGCTCCTCCCTTTTCTCTGTCTTCACTGTCTTCCTTCTGTTCTTTGGGGGAGTTCGCTTGATTGACTCTACTTTTGGGTGGGGCTGAAGTTCGGGGGATTGTCTCCGCGGGTTCCTGTGGGGTTGCTGGGAAAGGAAAATAAACCTTTATGAAACTCTGTCCTGTTGAATGCACGACACTCTTTGCTGGTATCGTCTATGTCTCACTCAAGCATTCTCCTTCAGCAGCAGTTGCTATGACAAAAGCGTACGTAACAACAACAGCAGCCTTAGCTATTACTATCTCAACTTGTTTGATGAACTTGACCGCAGGCTCACGCTGAGACAGTAATAGCTAAGGCCACCCAGATGATGAGGATGCTCGGCACTGCCGCCCACTCAAAATGAGGATGGAGGAAAGATGAGCTACACAACGTCTACCTCCCCCATATACAACGTGTTTGTGGGTGGTTGGAGGGCGCCACTAGTAGGTCCTACTTCTTTACTTTCCCTTCTGTTGTTTCCGTCTGAGTGTCTTATTTTTTCCCAGCACTAAATTACCACTATTGTGTTGGTGTGCTTCTCTTTACTCAAACAAAAAAACACATTTTCTCAACTCCTCAAGCAACAGCTGGGAAGAATGTGGTTGAGCCAAACTCTGATAAAGGATCTGGAAGTGGCTCAAAACAGCTGTCTGCGACTGATCACCACCCAAGCGCAGTCCTCACCGATCGAGGCACTTGGTGCTGAAAGGGGGATCCCCAGCATAGAGTCTACCATCAATGCTAACTGCCACCGACCAAGGGAGAAGGCTCTGCAAATGAACAACGACCACCCCCGACGAATTGCGGCAGTGGAACAAGTGCACAGACGCTTAAAGGGGGGGGGGGGGCAGAGATTTCCCAAAAAGAACCGAGGACGCCCGCAGAAGGAACTCATATCTGTTCAATTGCAAGAGGAGGCCCGTTAATATTTCGAAACAAGGCTGTGGCTGTGCGAACGGGGAATCAACCCCGTCATCGTTTTTTTCCCACCTGTACGGCATAAGCGGAAAGGGTGACTCCAGCACGGAGATAGATAGATATATAGATAGATAGATAGATAAGATATAGATAGATAGAGATAATATATAAATATATATTTAGATGTAGATTATCATTATGTGTACTGTCCATAATAATAATAATAATAATAATAATAATAATAATAGTAATAATAATAGTAATACAAATAATGATAATATACAGCATTTGTATAGCGCAAATCCCCCCTCCCCCAAACAGCAAGCTCTATGCGCTTCACAATCTAAACTATTATCCCAGCAGCAGACCTGAATACAGCGCAAGCGGCCATTTATAGGCGCTAAAACACTGACATACTGACGAGATCTGTCTCTGTCTGTAGTCGGGTACCCAGTCCCAACTGGGTGAATTGAGGAAGATTCGTGCGAAGTGCCTTACCCAGGGACACAACCTCACGATTACAAGTCGTGTAGCCTAACCTTATATCTATCTATCTATCTATCTATCTATCTATCTATCTATCTATCTATCTATCTATCTATCTATCTATCTATCTATCGATCGATCGATCTATCTATCGATCTATCTATTTTATTATATTATATATATATAGAGAGAGAATTATATATTATTACACACACACACACACACACACACACACACACACACACACACACACACACACACACACACACACACACACACTATATATATATATATATATATATATATCTATATATCTATCTCTCTCTCTCTCTCTCTCTCTCTCTATATATATATATATATATATATATATATATATATATATATATATATATATATATGTATATATATATGTTTTGGTGTGTCTGTGTATTTGTGTGTGTGTGTGTGTGTGTGTGTGTGTGTTTGTGTGTGTGTGTGTGTGTGTGTGTGTGTGTGTCCATTTGTGTGTTTGTGTGTGGCATTGCGGTGAAATCAAGCGCTGGTCAAAATAGTGAAATCGAAGAAACCGACATTTTTTCCGACTGTTAGTCAATTTTTATCGAATTTTCTGATTTGGGCGGAGTAATTTTATACCCATCTATCACACATTCCTGTTATATACTATATTTACTATAAAAACGTTTATTAAGTCACGCAAAAAGTATACAATTTTGGCGGCCATTTTCTTTCTTATTTTATATCTGATACCGGACGACTCCCACCTCCTTCAATCCCAAAAGTCTCGACTTCAGTCAAGTAAGATTGTTTTTGTTTTTTTCATCAAAGCAGAACCAACAAACAAGCTTTAAGATATTATAATATCAATAACTCAACATGCCCAAAACTTGACCATTGTTTGTGTGTGTGTGTATGTGTGTGTGTGTG